GGATCTTTCTACTATGTCTAAATGAACTGCTCTAACGGTTGCACAGGTGAATATTACACCCCACGCTTTCGTCGTCTTATTTCTGGAAATCTTTCCACACCAGTGACTGTAAAGGGTGGAGCAAAAGGTCTGAGTCTATCCGACGGTAAATCAGCCATTAATGTAGTGTACGCTGGTTGCCTCAGTTTTCTGCAAATTACGCAGTGTCTTAGGCATTTCACACAGTTTCTGCCTCTTATTATCCAGAACTTACGACTTATATCACTAAGTGTCCTTTCTGTACCACAATTGCCATTTTTAACTTGAAAGTATCAATCAGCTTTGTAACTCCATTCTCTGGTACCAATAAAATAGGATGAATCGTGATATTCCAATGAAGATTTTCTTTATCTACCTCCAACTCTGATGATGCTATCCTTGATGAAGGGGGCTAAATCTCGATAGCGCTCCTCACAATCTGTTATTGGTCGTTGCACCAGCATAAGTAATCAAAACTCGGAATGTTCCAATTCTTCTGGTTGCAATACATGATTTGGATAGGTTTCTATCTTCCTGGTTGCATTGATACATCTATGGCAGTAGGCAAGAACTCTGACCAGTTTAGGATAGCTTAAAAATCTGGAAACATCACTTCACTGACTTTAATTACAGAACAAACAATTTTGGGTAGTTTGAATTCTGCGTCAGGTTTTAAGCTTTCTTGCAAGTCTGTAGGCCATTCGGATTCTGGTAATCGTAGGAATAAGGGACCATGCATCCATCATCAGCAGGATTAAGCTCATTGGATACACATCTAAATTTATCAGGACCCCGTGTAGATTGAATCTCTGCTACATGTAATCCCACAAAAGGCTTCAAGATTGCAGATTCAGAACGTAACCAAAATAATACCACCTGAGAATCGGACCATAATAGTTTTGAAGGTTTGGTTTCCAGTGCATCATAGATGGTTCTTAAATCTTTATCGTTTAATTCGAATAATAAAAACAATTTGCATTTTTTCTAATGAACATAGAATCCATCCCATAAAAAGATTGGGATTGGTATTAAAGTTATGATAAAAATGAAATGAAATGAATGGAGTTTTACGTCCTACTCTTCTGCACCTTGTGGACTAATGAAGACGGGCAACGCCAAGCAGGGTGCCATGAGGGAAATTTTGCCAGGACAGCGGCATTAGCCTGCTCTTTTTCGATTTCCAACTGTCGAGGGATCTTTAACGTGCACAGCCTGTAGCACACGAGGCCTCGGTTGATTGTCCCATCCGAACGACTAGACGCTTTTTCCATGTCAGCCCCTCTTACCTGCATCACTGACAGGGGGAAACCGGGTTGAAAATCCGAAGGTATTATCTCGACCTATGCCGGGATT